TAATCAGAAAGCAGGAGGGATTATGATTAAGAGATGGGTCAGTTATGCTCTTTGTTTCCATTTTTTAAGTTTCAGTTTTACTTTCTTTTATATTTTTATAACGTTCTTCACGATGATTCATTACATTCAGTATTCCAACACCAATCCCACCATTGTTACACCTTCCCACCACCATTATAAATAAATAATTTATTTTATAGTTAGTGCTTGTTACGAATAATTCACTAAAAATGATAAAAATAATATTTCCTCAGAAGAAAGTGTGTGAAGGTTGTATCTCACTCTGGAGTCATTAAGCCCTCATGTAAGAGATAAACTAACATGTTGCGGGTTAAACTTTGTGTGTTTGTATTTTGTGAATCATGACTAGTTGCCTTTTCCTTTACATTCCATCCAGTATGGTGTGCTATTCCTGTATATCAGTGGTGTAGAGTTTGAGATGTCACTCTAGGAATTCAAACGTTTTGAATGGGGTGATGCAGCTGGACTTAAATTTTTAACTGGATGGTGATTTTGGGGTCCGGAAGCAACTCTGCAGCTTGCTGATCTCTTTTGTGATCTGTTTATGAGTCTGTGGATCATGACCAGTTAATGAGCGTATATGGCACTGGAGACAGTTTGTGGGCGAGACTGCCAGGCTCCGGGAATAATAGGGAAATAAAGGGGAGGTAGCCCATCCTGGACTCCATGATAGCCTGGAGATTTCGGTTACAAAACCAGCATTCTTGAGTTTTTTAACAGAATCATTCCTGGATGAGGCTTGACCTGAGCTTGTGGAGTTCGGCCATGAGCGTGGTAGTGATTGGAGTGTGTAGTTTTGGGCTGCCAGGTCTTCGTTTCACGGGTGGTGGGCTCACCCGCCCCCCTCTGGGGTCCCCTGGATAGGAGACTCAGCCTGGCATGGGGTCTGGAGGCATCTCTATCACTCAGAAATTTTATGACCCCATCAGCCAAGCCATTCCGAGCTCTGAGGGCTGCTGGCGCTTGCCAACTCTGAGCCTGCTGCCATGCTGCTGCCGTCTTCTCTCTCCCCACTATGTATATATGAAGGGCAATGGGTTTTTCTCCTTCTGTGCACTTCATCAAATCTAGGACTTTTAACATTATGTATAACATTTTAAACTTTAGTTTACAGTGAGCTTTCTGATTTTGTCAGTTCTAATAATGCATGCCTGCGATAGAAATTTTGTGTCTGTGTGGGCACACCTATATGAATAGTAGAAATCTCAGAGGTTTCCACATTTTGTTGTTTTTTTTTTTTTTGAGACAGATTTTCTTGTTTAGGTCAGGCTTTTTTTTTTTCTTTTTGGGTCACACCTGGCGATGTACAGGGATTACTCCTGGCTCTGCACTCAGGAATTACCCCTGGTGATGCTCAGAGGACCGTATGGGATGCTGGGAATTGAACTTAGGTTGGCCGCATGCAAGACAAACCCATACCTGCTGTGCTATTGCTCCAGCCCTGAGACAGATTTTCTTTTGGAGCAGATTTACAATTTAAGCTGTGAGCTGGTTTGCTGTTGTAGTGTACACAATTTTTTTGTTTGTTTTTGGGCCACACCTGGCAGTGTCCAAGACTTAGTCCTGGCTCTGTGCTCAGGGATCACTCCTACCGAGCTCGGGGCAGAGATTGAATGCTGGTTGACCACGTTCAAGACAAGCTCACTACCTGCTGTGGTATTGCTCCAGTTTCCTGTAGTGTATATACATTAGTATCTGTAGTCAGAAGCAACCTATTTTATAGAATGGAGTGAAATGGTCTTGATTATTTTATACTTTGAAGGATGGTAAGTGGTAATGCTATCTCATCTTGAACATGTAGAGTTAAATTTGGTTATTCATAACATGTAGAGTTAAATTTATTTTTTGTATGTGAAGAGAGTAATTGTATTTAGAGACTGAGAGAAAGAGAAACACAGATACAGACTCCTAAGACAAAATAAGAGAAATGTTGTGAATCTGGTGCAGTGACTCCAGATTGGCGTCCACCTGTGTATCTAGCAGGGTAAATTTGACTTATTTTTTATTCATTTCTTTGTTTTTGTTTTTTGGCCATGCTCAGTAATGCTCAGGGGTTACTCCTGGCTTTGCGCTCAGGGCTAGGGGATATTTTATGGGATGGTGGGGATTGATCTTGGGTCAGCTGCGTGTAAGGCAAATGCTCTACATCCTGATCTATTCTGACCATGAAGGGTAAATTGTAAAGAGGGTAAATTTAACTGGTAAATTATGCTTGGCTCATCTATGGGATTTACTCTTATTTTCTTAAATGTAGCACTTGTATCAAAGTAGATGTAAGGTAGACTTTTTGTTAAGTGAACAATTTTACTTGTTTCCTTTTTTTTCCCATCTTGGGAAAGAAGAATGATTTTTGTTGCTTTGAGGACTTGTTCATCACAAATAAGTGGGCTAACTCATTATTGCTTTGGACAAGATATTCTAAAATAATAGCTGTATAGTTTTCTGTTACTAATTTATCTGAGTAGAAGGTTGGTGCATAAGATGTTTTATTTGACATTCATTTATTTAAATACTTTCAGTGGTGATACTTAGGAATCTAGACTTGGATCCAGTTTTGATGCTCTCACACTGATTTCAGGGGCTAAAGGTTAAAAAATGAATTTATTTCTTTGCTAGATCTTTTTATTTTTTTAAACTTTTTTAAAACTTTGCTTAGGTTATATATATATATAGATATAAATGTATGTATGTATGTATATTGATTTTTGGGTCACACCTGGTGTTGGGTCACACCTGCTCAGGGGTTACTCCTGGCTCAGTGCTCAGCAATTACTCTTGGTGGTGCTCAAGGGACCATATGGGATGCTGAGGATTCAACCTGGGTTGGCCACATGCAAGGCAAATGCCCTATCTGCTATATTATTGCTCCAGCCCTGGTTAAATTTTTGGGGGGTGTATGGGTGGGGGTGGCAGGGTTTGGGCAATACTTCGCGATGTTCAGAGCTTACTCCTGGCTCTGAGGTCTGGATTTACTCCTGGTACTGCTCAGGGAATTGAACTCAGCTTAGCTGTGTGCAAGGCAAGTTCCTTAATCTCTGTACTATCTCTCTGGCTCAAGTTTTTAAAACTACATTTAATTTGAGTAGGTGTTAAGAAAAGGAATGCAAACATTTTGTACATCTTTTTACAAAGTTTGGTTCGCTTTCTGAAGTACTATTTTTTTTTAAAGTTTTTTTTTCTGAGTTGGAGAGAGATCACAGTGGCTACTGTATGTAGGTTCAATCTCCAGCACCACATATGTTTCCCTGAACCCTGTCTGTGGTGAACCTTGAGTGCAGAGCCATTAACTTGTAGAGTAAGTCTTAAAAGTTGCTGGGTGTAGCCCCAAATGAAATGATTGTTTTTTTGGGGGGATGCTGTTAGGTATGAAACTTCGGGCTTACACATGTAAGGCAAATACTATGCCTCTAAGATATATCCCTGGCTGTTCTGTTGTTTTATTGGTGCTTTGGCGTGTGATGCTTTAAAGTTCAGTTAGTGCTGCACAGAGCTCAAGCAGTTTAGATGAGAATATTATGAAGGAGTTTGGCTGGTTTATTCTTTTTTTAAAAAAAAAAACAAAACCAAAAAAACCCCTTTATGTCTAAAATTTCACATAATTTAAGAAATGAAAATTATACATGTAAATCATACTTTATATTCCTTGTCTAGCATAGAATGTACACTATTTGATGACCCCAGTTCAATTCCCTGAGCATTATAATATTAATGGCATATTGTTACATTGGGCTGGAGTGATAGCACAACGGGTAGGGCATTTGCCTTGCATGCAGCCAACATGGCCGACCCAAGTTCGATTCCTCCGCCCCTCTTGGAGAGCCCGGCAAGCTACGGAGAATATCTCTCCCGCACGGCAAAGCCTGGCAAGCTACCCGTGACATATTTTATATGCCAAACACAGTAATAAGTCTCACAATGTTACTGGGCCTGCTCGAGCAAATCGATGAACAACGGGAAGACAGTGATACAGTGATTGTTATATTAAATGTTCAATTGTTAGAATTGCTTATGTTGATTTTAAAGTTTTTTTTTTTTTAAATAGTCTTCATTTGGACTTCCCCCTTTGCCCTTAATTTGTTTTGACTCAAAGATGACTATATTGTGTGCTTGTGATGTGTTTTTGTTTTTTTTTTTGGTTTTGTTGTGTTTTGGGTTTGGACCACTATGCTAAGGAATCACTCTTGGCAGCATTTGGGACCATATGTAGTGCTGGGATTGCCATCCTAGGGCAAGAGGATTATGACAGGTTGGCTGTATGCAAAGCAGCACCCCACCCACTTGACTAGTCCTAGAATAAAATAAATCTGTTTTGTTCTGGGCCATACTTGGTGGTGCTCAAAGCTTTCTGCTCAGGGGTCACAACTAGCGGTGCTTGGAAAAACCATATGGGGTTCTGGGGATTGAACTGGATCAGCCATGTATAACGCACACACCCACTGTACTATTGCTCTGGGCCCCAGTCTTCAACCATTTCCATACAGCATCAGTTAATTGTTTTACTGCATTTATTCTTTTCTTCACCACTAGTAATGCACACAAAGATCCATAATAACAGACTGGTAATAAAGTAATAAAAGGGCAAGAATATGTAAAGTTTGCTCTCCTACGGGTTAGAAACAGAAAATAGAACTAGCTGAGTGGTATTTCTCATGTATTACAAAGTTGAATATTTAATTAATAATTAAGGTACTTTCTGGTTAGTGATCAGTGTATATGTTTAATTTACTTACTGATAAGTGATTTTAATGCTAGGAGGTCATGCAAGATTCAGTTACTGATTTTCTTTTATTTGGAGAAGTGGGAGCCACACCTGGCTACGCTCAGGGATTACTCCTGGCTCTGCATTCAGGGATCACTCCTGGCAGGCTCCGTGGACCATATCGAGTGCCGGGGGTTGGCTCAGGCAAAGCAAGTTCCCTCTCTGCTATAGTATCTCTCTGTACTCAGTTGCTGATGTCTCCAATTTGTTTTCTTCCTAGGGCAAGAGGATTATGACAGATTACGGCCACTGAGTTACCCACAAACAGATGTATTTTTAGTCTGCTTTTCAGTGGTCTCTCCTTCCTCATTTGAAAATGTGAAAGAAAAGGTGAGTTCTGTCTGACATTTTTACCCTGAAAAAGGTTGTCAGGTTCTTGATAGCTTGTAAATGACTATAGAGTTTTATGGCTTTTAAAAAAAATTCTTTTTTTTTTTTAATCCCTTTCTAGTGGGTGCCTGAGATAACTCACCACTGTCCAAAGACTCCTTTCTTACTTGTTGGGACCCAAATTGATCTCAGAGATGACCCCTCTACTATCGAAAAGCTTGCCAAGAACAAACAGAAGCCTATCACTCCAGAGACTGCTGAAAAGCTGGCCCGTGACCTGAAGGCTGTCAAATACGTGGAGTGCTCTGCACTCACACAGGTAAGGACTGGTGTGGAGCTCTCGGTTTTGTGTTGGTCGTCATTACGTTTCAGAGGTCCTTTCTAACAAGGGTCCATACTGCCCAGGTCAGCTGCCCAGGAACCATGCCGTCAGCTTTGTGATGTATATTGCTTTGCTTGGTGTCTCTTTATTTATGGAGAAAATGACCTGTCTCTAAGTAAAGCACCTGTTTGTGAGCTTCCTCGTGCTACTGAACCGCTTTGGGAAAGTGGGAAAGGTTCAGGTTAGCACAGAAGAGAGTAGATTCCCTCACTTTTTCTTAGACTTAATTTTTGTTTTGTTTTGTTGACCTTCAGTTCTAATACTTGATGCTGTAATTTCTGGGGTAATTCAGTGGCGGGTAGGTGATTTGTCATCACAGTTTAGCCATTCATGTCAGAGAGGTATATCTTAACTATCTCAAGCAGGCTTTTTGTATTATGTCTCTTAGCTCTGTTTTTGGAAGCATTCCTTCTTCATTAGTTCTTTTATCCTTCTGTTTCTTTCATAGCGATTTAATTGGAATTCCTATAGTTTGATGGGAAGCTTTTTTTTTTTTGTGGACAGAGAACAGTGTTAGAGTATTAAAAATAAGAATTACGGTGGTCTAATATTGTCCTCATCTTTCCTACCTTTATGGTTTTATTGACTGGTTCTCCCCTTTTAAGGACTGTTCAGGAGCAACAAATTCATGAAAATAATTAGCACAGATAATTATTTTACTGGTACCAGTGCTTTGAAGTTTGAACATTAAGCAAGTGTGTATGATTAAAATAGGGCAGGGAAGAAAGCATAGATTGTTTTTTTATATTAAATTTTTTTCCCCATAAGTAAATAATTAGTATTGTTTTTCTTTAGCTGGGGTGGGATATGGTTCAAATGACTAGAGCACATGCTCTGCATGTGGAAGTCCCCGGCTTGATCTCTGGCACTGCCTGGTCTCTGTAGCACTGCTGGGGTTGTGTCCTCCAAGCCCAAAGTGTTTTTAAATTTTTTTTTTAATACTAAGGTAAATGGTAGATAAAATGGTATAGTATGCCAACCTTTATTTAGTGCTAGGTTACTTGAAGTTAAAAACATTGGGCTGGGGGGCTTTGGGCCACACGTGGTGGTGCCCGGAGGCTACTCCTTGTTCTGTGCTCAGGAATCACTCCTGGAGGTGCTCAGGGCGACCATAGTCAGTGCTGGAGATTCAGCCAAGTGCAGGGCAAACACCTTAGCCTCTGTACTCTCTCTCTTGGTCCAAGATAAAATTTTTATGCTTAACCAGTTATTTCAAAGGTTGACCTTAAGGTATAATGCTATTTTTCAAAATCTAGCTTTCCTTGGCAGTTTAGTATTATTATAAAAACAGTTACTTCAAAGGTCAGAAGATAAACTAACACATGGCACCGAGAATTTGCCCATTTTTATGTGTTCTGTTACCATCCTTAGAACAAAGTTCTTGTGTGTCTGAGCCTGTATGTGTTTTGGGTAAGGCTACATGTGGAACATATGTGTTAGTTTGTATCCGACCATATGTATCAGTTACATATCCCTATCTCTAAATAGGGGATATAGAGGCAAATTGGCCTTGTGGACCCAATTTTTATCATATTAATAAAACTTAGAGAATTGTGTTTCCGTATAAGGTTTTTAAAGTAGTGCTAACAGCTTTATATAGTGAGTAATTTTACAGAAAACAGGAATTTGAAAAGCTGTTAGCAAATATATGTTGTTTCTTATTTTATATGAAAACTGTGACTTTTAGGACTTCAGATTGTTAGCACCTCTAAACTGAACTCTGCATATAACTAGATAGTGTGGGTAAAGCAGAAATTAATTTCGTTATCTCAGATTAGTTAATCTGTCAATAAATAAGCAAGAATTTGCTTTGAGATGTACTAGTTTCTGGTCTCCTCCTTTTCTTCATTTTACTTATAAAATATATTATCTGTTTCATTCTTCCTTGCTTTTTATACAGTATTTGGCTCCCAGTATTTGCTCCAAGAGATGCTGAAAGAATTGCAGAGGAACTTTGACACTCTTTTTGGTTAAGCACTTTATAAAATGCATAAAAAGACAAAAAAAAATTTTTTTTCTTTTTTGGGTCACACCCGGCAATGCACAGGGGTTACTCCTGGCTCTGCACTCAGGAATTACTCCCGGCGGTACTTGGGGGACCATATGGGATGCTGGGAATTGAACCTGGATTGGCTGCATGCAAGGCAAATGCCCTCCCCACTGTGCTATCGTTCCAGCTCCAAGATGAAAAAATTTTAACCTCTTAAAAAAATTCTGCTTGCTAGTTCTCATTTATTTTGCACTGAATGGAATATGTGGGTGCCAGGTCTCTGATTTGGTGGTTGGCGGGGGTAGTGTAGAGAGAGGGGGGAAAATGTGGGGATGGGACCAGAGTGATAACACAGTAGGTAGAGCGCTTACTTTGCACTCAGCTGGCCTGAGTTTGATCCCAGCATTCGAGCATTCCCTATAGCTCCCTGAACACCACCAGGAGAGACTGCGGAGTGCAGGGCCAGGAGTAGCTCCTGAGCATTGCCAGGTGTGGCCCCAAAACAAAGAAAATGTGGGGGGAGTCGTCTGGGTCTGGAGCTGTTTCTGAGACTTTTGGGAAAAGTTTTACTTGGGATCAAACTGACCTAAAATAAGAGAATGTCAAACTTCTGGGCCTGGGGAGATCTGTTGTACTGAGATATATAGATATATCTGAGTAGAACAGATTCCTCATGTTTGAGACCCTGCGTTTGATACCTAGCACCTACCCTCCTTCAAAAAAAAAGTTATGTATTTGGTTGGTCAACCCCTGACTTTACATTAGGTGAGTGGATAGACCTGGTCCCAAGATGCGAGGTCTATCAAATCACAGTTAGCATAAGTTCTGGCTGAGGAGGTTATGTGTATATCTGTATTTGATCTTCATTGATAATTCTTTGTTTTCACTCCATGCTTTATGCTGTGATATTCATGCAAACATCTTCAAGCATTGACTGCTTGCTGAAACCCATTCCAGGACCCCATTCTTTATTTTTCTATGACTTGGGTGGTGGTTACTTGCTCTAATAACATTGCTGAATAACTGAAGAGTAAACTGTTTCTAGAGTCTGTTCTTTAAGCTTCTCCTGGTTGGTACTGTTGAACAATTAACACTCTTTCTTTCTGAACCTTTTTGCTCTGGGAAACTTTTCACTCCAAAATTCTGATTAATCCCACCCAGATGTTAGTTTATTTTAAATCTAGAAACTTATAGCATGCTTGTTAGTTTGCTATTTGTGTCCTTCAGTTATTCAGTGGCTGAATTCACAGAAGCCTGACACTGTTTTTATTTATTTATTGTTTTGGACCCAGAACTGAGAGTGCTCAGGGGCTATTCCTAGCTCTGTGTGAGAAAGTTCCTCCCAGCAGTAGTGCTAGAGGGACCATTTATATCATGTTGGGGTTTGAACCCAGGCACACCACATGCAGAGCAGGTACTCAGCTATTGAGCGGTCTCTCGGACCCAGAAATCTGAAATTTATGTAGATTGGTTCCAAAATATTTATGTCATCCTTATCCTTTGAAATACTGATATAGTCTTGATTTGATGAAATCCATCTATCTTTTTAAATACATATTTCTCTCCTGGCATTTGCATTGAAATATTGTACCCTTAGAATTACAAGAGTGCTATTTTAGAAGTTAGGGCATGCATTTTCATAACAATTGCTCTTTTGCTCAGTTGTCTGCTTTTGAGGTAAGAAATTTGTTAAATTATCTAATTCCCCAGTCATGGGGTCTGTGATTGAATTTTCTGGCAGTTTTTCTTATGCACATTGCTTCTGTGAATTCAGCCTGTTTAATCCGGACTGCTGTTTTATCTGCTAGTCTTTCTAATCCTCTAACCTGGCTGCTATTCTCTCTCCTCCCCTCTGTCTTGTAGAGAGGTCTGAAGAATGTGTTTGATGAGGCTATCCTAGCTGCCCTCGAGCCTCCGGAAACTCAACCCAAAAGGAAGTGCTGTATATTCTAAACTGTTTTCTCCTTCCCCTCTTTGCTGCTGCTTCCTGTCCCACTACTGTAGAAAGATCATTTAAAAACAAAGGAATAAAACTGTCCTGTTTGAAAGCCTCTGCGTCTTTTTACTTGCCACCGTAGAGCAACCTATGTATTAGTTTTACTCAAGAATGCAGTATCTTAATAGCACATTTTTTGTGATCAGTAGTTAAGTTGGACTTATTTAACTTTCAGCTGCTTGAGTTGTCTGATTCTCAGAGCTTTTCGGTTGGATTACTATGGCAAAAGGGAACCTGGTCTGGTATTAAGATTGTCCTCTGGGAGAAAAGAGTTTTAGCACATCTAGATCTTATTTCTAGATGGAGAAAATACACAAACATTTTACTCTTATGATCAATTGTTAATTGTAATTGCATGACAAACCTTACGGGAAAAGGGGTGACCTGCTAGTAGAGTGTAATGGGGAAGGGAGGATTCTTTTCTGGTTTTTCTTTGTGCAGTGAAACTTTGTGTTGCTATTATTGCTTCGGCTGTTTGTGCTTTAGTGAAGTATTTGTCAGTCTGGGGTGGGAAAGATATTGATTGATGTACCTGTTACTGCTTTATGAAAGCATTTGTTACATTATCTTTTACGAATAGCATCCATTTTAAGAGTTGACTTAAGGTTTGCTAATGTTGAGATGTAAAGCTGCCATCTTTATATTTCTGCTTCTGATTTTATTGTTGTGAGGGAAACATAATTGTGGTACCTTCAAATTTTGAAATTAAAAATATACAATTGTTTATATAAATGCCTGACGAAGCTTTATTCCTGTTGCACTTACTGGCTCTAGTCTTACATTTGTATTAGGAACCCACATTTTTGCTTCTTCAAGCTCCTGAAATTCCAAGTGGTGGGTTGAAAGGGAGTTTAGAGTGAACCTCTCTGATGCAGCCACTTTAACCATTCTCTGTCTTTGCCTGCGCCTTCCATAAAATACGGGTGCCACCGCCTCGTGCCTGTCTTCTCAGTCCTGTTTCATATCCAGTGGTTTCATTGGAATGCAGAGCTGCTTCACTTGTTTTTTGTTTAAAATGTTTCAGTAGTACATTACAAAATTCATATTGACTGAGCAAATGACACATGTGCTTCTTTGCTTCTTGTGACATACATTGGTCTGCAAAAATGCTTTCTCAAAGAGCCACGGTCTCATTCATGAATATCTGCTCATCTGTTCGGAGGTGCTGAATCCTGCCAGTGCCCTGTCTAGACAAAGTACAATGGAGTGAGATGGTTGTGTTGAGATGTAGGATTGTTTTTAATGTTGCGTTCTTTGCCAACTCTTGGGATGTTTAAATGTTTAAAATTTGGTATTCATCTTTATTATACTGAAAATCAGACGCCCATTTTTTTTTCCCCTACCCCTTTTCAGAAAGGCCTAAAGAATGTATTTGATGAAGCAATATTGGCTGCCCTGGAGCCTCCAGAACCGAAGAAGAGCCGCAGGTGTGTGCTGCTATGAACATCTCTCCAGAGTCCTTTCTGCACAGCTGGTGTCGGCATCATACTAAAAGCAATGTTTAAATCAAACTAAAGATTAAAAATTAAAATTCGTTTTTGCAATAATGACAAATGCCCTGCACCTACCCACATGCACTCATGTAAGACAGGCTCATAGGAATGGCCCTCCCCCTCCAGATACTAGTTGATTTTGAGTCATTGTGTATTTGTCAGAGAAGTGATGAGTACTAGTTTCAGTTTTGTTGTTTTAAAATTGTTTTGTTTGTTTCGTTATTGTTTCAAAGCAAGGCATGCTTGTGACGACTCTGTAACAGACTAATTCGGATTGCTAAAGCTGCCCTGGGGCTCCAGTGTGGAGCGTGATCTGGGGCGTCTAGGAATTGGGTATTTTTTCCCCTCCTTTTTTTGGTGGAGGGAGGGGAGTGTGTGTGGGGTCTGTTTTTATTTAGTCCTTTTTGTTTTTATTTTTTAAATTCATTAGCTATTGGATAGCCCTTAAGGAGAGGAGGATGGATGGATTCCACATTCCACTTCCTATGCCTGGTTTAGAGGACACGCTCCCCGCCTGGTGCTCTTGGAAAGGAGTATAGCAGATGCCTCGTGCAGTGAACATACTCCTTTTTGAAAGTTGCCTTTTCTCTCCACCCCTGAGTAGGTTCAGTATTTGATGAAAGTGGAACCTGATTTGCCCCTCCTGTTTTCTAGGATGCACTATATATGTGACTGACTTTCAAGGAAATATGTTTGCCATTTAATTTTTTTAAAGAAGTTTTTCCCCCTGAAGTTAATTTCTAACTTCGCTAATAAATGAAAAGTATTGCACCTTTTGAAATATACCGGATGGGTTGAGTACATAATTAAAAAGCATTTTTCTTTTGTCAGTCATTGTCTTAATATGCTTAGCATAGGCAAGATGTGTAATAGTATCTGATACGGTATTCCTAGAAATGGCTGATGACCTGGTATATAGAGAAATTATGAGGGGTGGTGCTAGAGGACAGATATCCTTGCAATGATTTGCATCCTCTTCCAAGTTAGGAGGATGGAGACCTGCTTCATTAAGAAGCTAGGGATGGGGTGGGGTGGGGAGAACATTTAACAACATGGGGACCAGCCAGGGGCATCCCTTTATTTCTTTTGTGCATCTGCGAACCCTAGAGCAGCCAACTGAGGCTCTAGTTTAATTAAAGATACAAAACAAAAAAAATACCAGAAACAGAGACTTATAAAGACTCTTTATAATAAGTGTTAATAGGGATTTTATCAGCTCATTTTTGTTGCAAAAATTCCAGTTTTTAAAAATGTTCGGATAATTTTTCCCACCTTCCCCAATCCTAATTCTTGTAGAATCATTAGTATTGAACCAATGCTTTCCATGTCTCAATTCTTTGTATATGCATTCTTTTCAGATGTATTAAACAAAAAACCCTTCACAAGGCCTCCTGAGGGTGGTTATTTTCCCTCCGCCTCTTTTTAGATGTTGAGTAGTGGGAGTTGACTCTTATTAGTAGCAGTTTTAAGCAGATGTTGGGATATGGATTGAAATTTATTGACCTATTCCTCTCTAAATCTAATTATTTTGGTTTTTGGACGATGCCTGACGTTGCTCAGGTCTCATTTCTGGCGGTGCTTGGGGGACTGTATGGGATGCCAGGGATGGAACCTGGGTCTGCCACATGCAAGCGAAGCACCTTACCTGTTATACCATCTCTTTGGCCCAAACTTTATTATTTTTATGTATTTCCTTCCCTGGCATTTAGTTTAGAATCATTTTCCCCTTTATATATTTGAATTTGTACCTTTTCCCTTAAGTTTGGCAGGCAGCCTAGAAACTTCCTTAAATACCACGTAGGTCATAACACTTCGTAGTGAAGAAATGTTCAGGAAATTCATTGCTCATGTTTTTGGAAGGAAATATCAGTAGCCCTTTAGTCCTTAGATTAGTTGGCAAGTGGCCAGCTTTCCCCCTGGTTTTCCAGTTCTCTGCATACTGGAGTGCAACTTGAGCAGTGGACTCTTTAAAAACTTCTCAGGTATTTCCAGAATGTGGCCAAATTAGAGAATAACTGCTCATAGGTTAAAGATACTCAGTTGGATTTTAAATTCTGTGCTGTAAATCCGAGTAGGGGACACATTTTGTTCAGGTGATAAGGATTTATTTACTGAAAGACACTTTATACTGCTCTGTGTAACAATCTTAGAAACGAAGGACTTAAAAATTATACAAAAAAAAATATTAAGCTACTGTGATTTACATATTCAGGACAGTGTTCCAACACCATTCCCACCACCAGTGTTGGCTCCCCTCCACCAGTGTCCGCAGGTTTTTCCCCAACCCCCTGTTAGTCTCCTTGACAGCCTGTTTGCAAGGTTGGTCATGACAGTTTATATCTCATGCTTGCAATATTGTTTGCTTCGTAGTCTATGCATATCTGTGCATATACCATGTCCGTGCAGTATAGGTGTAATTCTGCATCTCTACACCACGGAGGAGCTTGAGGCACTTGACCTCTGCCCCTGTTATCTCTGATCTGTCTCTTATTATCTCCTCCCTCCTCATTTTCTTTCCTTCTTTGGTCTTTTTATTTCTGGAATCAAGGGTCAAGAGTAATCTGGAAATCCCCCTTTGCAACTTGCAATTTCTCCTCAATAGTCTGCTATACTACAGATGAGTGAAGTCACCAGGTGTTTCACTTCTGCTCACTTCCGTCGGCATGATAATCTCCAGTTCCAGCCAAGTTGCAGTGAATTTTGTGATTTCATCCTTCCTTGCAGCTGCGAAGCATTCTGTCATGAAGATACATCACACTTTTATCCAGTCACCAGTTGTTGGGCACTTCGCTTAATACCGTATCTTGGCTAGTAATGCTGAGTGTTTTGATGGATAATGGCATGATATGTCCTGAATAAAATGCTTTTGTGTCCTGGGTGGGTGTAGATACCAAGGAATGGAATTGCTGGGGTATATGGATGCAAACCTCCAGACTGAGAAACCAAGGACTGATAATCCAGTTAAGGTTGATGAAGTGTAGCCTCATTTCCATAGCTTGCTGACATGGAATCATGGTGTTTTGATTCCTTTCTGTGCGGGAACTAAGTTTTAGGTTAAACGGGTGTTAGGGAAATGCATATCTAAGCTGACTATTCATTTGTTTTTTTGGTGGGGTAGGGAAACTGCATACCCAGCAGTATTCAAAGGACATCCCTCTGTGCTCAGGGAACCGAAGTGCAGTGCCAGAACGTCAACCACTGTTACCGGAAGTGGCTGCATGCAAGGCAGTTGCCTCAGCCTTTGTGCATCTCTCTGGCCGAAGCTTACTCTTTTAATCAGTGTACCCCCTCTGGCCATACTAGGGAGAGGTAGTGTGGAGTGTGCTGTGAGAGCCTGCAGAGCAGGAACTGTGTAACTATAGGTCTTAGTTCAGTAACACAGAGGCTTGTCCTGATGATCCTCACCTAGAACATACTTACTTCATAAGGCTTTGGATGTGGTAGTTTTTGGATGGTAGATATGGTAGGTCCATGATTTCAAGAATGAAGAAATAAACCAGGTCACAGTTGTGTTGATGAATTAGCCACACACCAGGTTTAAGGGTGAGGAGAGAAATTGATACTATATTTTCTAATTAAGTATTTCAGTTTGACTTCCATGTCGGTGATTATGAATGAAGCATTGCTTTGTGACTTAACAAACTTGTTTGTCACCTTGGCTTAGTGAGAACTACCTGGGGAGTATGATACAGAAAAGAGGTTTACTGGTTTTCTTTTCTTTTCTTTCTTTCTTTCTTTTTTTTTTTGTGGGGTGGGTGGGGTACACCCAGCTTGCTTCTGGCTCAGTGTTCAGGGATCTCTCCTGACAGGGCTTGGGAGACCATATGTGGTGCTGGGGATCGAACCCAGGCTGGCTCTGTGTGAGCAGGTGTCTTACCTGCTGTAATACTGCTCTGGCCTAAGTGTCGGTTTTCAGCAGACTATTGAAAACTACGGGAAAATATGCAGACATTTTCTGCATTTTGTGGTAAAGTTATTGTAACCACTACACCATCCTTGTGTCCCTTTTTGTCAAATGGCAATCACTTTTTCTTGGGCTGGCAGGAAATTTTTGCTGACTGACAATTGTCCCTGATTGGCAGTTGTGAACCACTAGTTAGAAAGAGGGTAGATTAGGGTTTTTTTTTTTTAAAACTGTCCTCAGTAGACTTAGCTCTAGGGTGTGTGTGTTTTTTTTTTATTTGCTTTTTGGGTCACACCCGACAACAATGCGTAGGGGTCACTCCTGGCTCTGCACTCAGGAGTTATCCCTGGCAGTGCTCAGGGGACCATACGGGATGCTGGGAATCGAACCTGGGTTGGCCGCGTGCAAGGCAAACACCCTACCCGCTGTGCTATCACTCCAGCCTCCAACTCTAGGATTTTTTAAACTGTCCTCAGTAGACTTAGCTCATGGTGAAATTTATAATACTTGGTTAAATATCACTGGTACATTACTGTTTTTCTAATGTGTATTTTACTGAAGGTCTTAGATTCTTTTGTTTAAATCTCTTAGAACTTGTGTGTGTATGGGGGGTGTTATTCTACGATGAAGGAAGAAATGGGGCATTATGGTCTGAAGGACTAGTAGCAATATATTTGTTTTCTAATTGTAATTTCCCTTTACACGAAGGATGTAGCTTCAACATATTGGTGCTGCAATTTGTGCTAGACATTCAGCTGTGAGGCACTGGTGGTCTGCAGCAGCAGCATGTTAGTCATGCCCCTTCATATTATAATCATAATACTTCTTTTTTCCCCTTTTTTATAATTTTTATTTATTGAATCACCGTGAGAGCAGTTATAAAGCTTTTGGGTTTAAGTCTCAGTCATACAATGAAACACCTGTCCCTTCACCAGTACCCATTTTCCACCACCAAAAACCCCAGTATACCCCCTATCCCACACCCTTCTCCTACCTGTGGGGCAGATGATTTGCACGTTACTATCTCTCTACTTTGATTACATTTAATATTTCGATACCAGACCCACCATTAAGTGTCATAATACCTCTTGAAATGTGTGTCTATCTCAGGGCTGGGAGAGAGCTCAGGAGGTTAGAATGGCAGCCTGGCATACTCAGGTTTAATCCCCAGCACCACTTAGTTTCTGTGACATCTCCAGCTATAGCCCTGGTGCGACCGCTCCCCACACCCGCCCACTGGGGAACCCACAAGAACAGCATGCACATCTAGGGTACTTTTTCCCTTGGAAAGCTGTTTTGTAGTGACTTGATTGTGTCTCACAATCACAGCTTCCTAGAATGGATACATGGATAGAATGGTATTTCTCAGTTTTCATTGTTAGGCCTGGACTTGTTTTTTTCCACTAGTTTTGATATTATTGTGGTTACATGTGTTTTCAGCGCTAAGAAACTTGTCTCTTGAGAGTGAAGAAGTGTTCACTAGGTACAGCTCACAGACATTGGAAATTTAGAATGTATCGATGTAGAGAAGGGGCAAGGTTTTGCCAGGATGTGCCAGGAACTGACTTTTTGGAAGGGCTGATCTCTGTTCGTGGTGGGCACTCTGAATGATGGATGAAGGCTGTAGCTTCAGCTTGTTGGTGCTGCAGTTTGTGCTAGCCACATTCAGGTGTGAGCCACTGCAGCAGCAGCAGCATGTTAATCATGGCTGTGTTTTAGCTCTCCTTGTTTTCTGTAAGCTTTATCTCAGGTTCTCCTTGTTTGAGTGTTTGGTGGTTTTACTCCATTGAACACCAGAGCAGCTCGCTTTGTAGTTTTCTTTCCACTGTAGCTTAAATATCTTGAGTTTGTGTATATCTCTTTGAATTTTTTTCCAGAGTGTCCTTATCATCTTTAAAAAACCCCTTTTTATTTGCTTTTACTACAATAACGCCTCACCCACCATCCTAATTGTCAGTGGCTTACTATAGTAAGTATTGTTTTCTTATCCATGCATCTGTTGGACTTTGTGTTCCTGAGAGTGCACTTTGGGGAACCTGAAAAGCCAAAGGGAATGCAGGCTCATATGTAAATTTTTTCTAGTGCCATTGCCTAGAGCCAAAGGTCCCCACCATTACATAATAGTCATTTAGTGAGTTTAAAAATAGTGTTTTTTTTTTTTTTAATTTAATACGACTCTGGGCAGACATAGGGGTTAAAGTGCATGTCCTGCATCCCACTGGGCCGAGCACTGCCAGGAAACAGCCTTGAACACAGAGTCAAGAATGACACCTAAGTATCCAGGAGTGTGGCCTGATACCCCCACCACTTGCAACAAACAGAACCCCCTGAAAGCCCCCACAAAGTGTGAGGATATGGCAGAGAATAAAGAGGCTGGAATATTTGTTTCCCTAGGATTGTGCATGCTGCTTTTTCTGGAGTACTCGTGTGGTCTCTCACACTTAGGAAATCTCTGAGAGGAAAGTGCCTCCCTGTCACCCTCA